AAGACCGTAGATAAATAAATGAGAGATACAGGAGTGTGTGTGTGTGTGTGTGTGTGTGTGTGTGTGTGTGTGTGTGTGTGTGTGTGTGTGTGTGTGTGTGTGTGAAGAATGAAGGGCCATCAGCGAGAGACTTGATGGCGAAATTCTCCACTGGCAAGAAAACCTCCAAGAACAAGAAGAAGCTGGAAAAGGCTATGAAAGTCCTCAAGGTGCCACTGTTTTACCTGAAGGGACTGTTTCTAATTCCAATTGTGTAACTTTAAGATGGTTAACAGGGCAGTACTGAGAGATGATTTACTGCTGTGCTGGGATGAATTGTTTTAACTCTTTATCCTCGCATTTTCTCTTAGAAACATAAAAAGAAGAAGAAAGCAGAAGTTTTTAATTTCTCTGCAGTTCACCTTATTCACGACCCTCAAGGTATCTAATTGTTCAGCATCACTGCAGCAAATGGAACACACAGACTTTGCCTCGAGGTCATTTAGGCTTCCATTCATAGAACTGCATAAAATCTATTTTTTTTTCTTTAGATTTCTCAGAGAAGCTCTTAAAGCAGCTGGAAGACTCAAAGGAGCGCTTCGAGGTTAAGATCATGATGATGGAGCTCATATCCCGACTGGTTGGAATCCACGAGGTCGGTGACTCATCTGTTTTTTGGGGGTTTTTTTTGTTCTTTCGTAAATGAGTTTATTCAAGTCAGATTAACGCAGTTTTAAATGCACCCTTCAGTCCTGTGTGTCGGGTCTGGTAAAACATGTACTGGCTTTTATTGAACTCCACATTTAAATCGCAGCTGTTGAGGCATGAGTGGACGTATGCATTGTTTTTTCTTCTTTCTTCTTCTTCTGGCGAGTAAACACTTGGTGTTCTTTTTCTTTTACAGCTCTTCCTCTTTAATTTCTACCCTTTCATCCAGAGGTTTCTTCAGCCTCACCAGAGAGGTAAAAAGAACTCACAGCTAAAGAAACAGATGCTCTTTTCTGTCCTGTACTGCTGTTTATTCATCTAGACCCAGTTTTGGGGATGTCTGCTGCCTTCTCTTGAACAAAATGGAAATAATTGGCTCTTGTTTTAGTGAGTGATACCTCATCAGCAGTGTCTCTTTGTACTGTGTTACCTGAGAGCAAAAAGTTCATCTCCCAGTGTCCACCAGCTAGATGGGATATAAACATCAGTGTCCTTTCTTAGTGGAACTTTCTTCACTGGGTCCTTCTGGTGTGGTGGTGTAGTTTAGTTTAAAAAAAAAACATTCCTGATATCTCCAAAACTCAGCAACCCACCTCAAAACAATCTAAATCGATACATAGCAGTACTAACTAAGCTATTATTATTATTTACATTTAAATTAGAATTTTCATGAGAAATCATTTGTCCATGAGACTTTTCTAACCAGCATCTTTGCAGATGTGACAAAGATTCTTCTCTGTGCTGCTCAGGCCTCCCACCAGCTCGTTCCCCCTGAGGTACATTTACTCCTATTTACTCAGTCGTTTTAAGCTGGTTTAACACAGTAGTTTCACACTGCTCTTCCTGTTTAACACTGTTCTGCTGCAGATCATTGAACCTGTGATCATGACAATCGCCAACAACTTTGTGACAGAGAGAAACTCTGGGGAGGTCATGACTGTGGGGTAAGTAGGTCTTTATACGATAATCAAAAGATGTGGTGAATTGAAAAATGAGTCAAGCTAAACCTATAACATACACCGACCAGCCATTTTATCAGGTACACCTCTGTGTAATCGTGGCACAGATTCAGGAAGGAGCTCTAGATTTTCCTACCTGACACGACAGCGTCAAATGGTTGCTGCAGATTTATCAGCTGCACATCAGTTAAGCAAATCTCCTGTCCCGCCACACTCCAAAGGTGCTCTGTTGGAATGAGATCTGGTGCCATTTCAATACAGTGAACTCATTGTCATGACGATGTGCTTAAATGAGTTGAGTTGCAGACATGTGATCGGTTGATTAGATATTTTCATCAATGAGAAGTCTGTTAGGTGCCCAGCAAGTGTTCATACAGGGTTTTTGTAGCTACCTCTTTAGTTTTACTCTATACTTTTATAATAAAACTGATTTTTTTTGTTTATGTTTCAGTCTCAATGCCATCAGGGAGGTGGCAGCACGCTGTCCGCTCGCCATCAACGAAGACCTTCTGCAGGACCTGTCCCAATACAAGACCCACAAAGACAAGAGTAAGTAATTGGTCTATTTCAGGTTTTTGTGATTGTGTTGAAGTCTGTATTCATGTTCACATGATGTACACTGCCTTGATTTTCAGATGTAATGATGTCTGCCAGAGGACTTATCCAGTTGTTCAGGAGTCTTAATCCACAGATGCTGCACAGAAAGGACAGGGTGAGCTTCATAGAACTCTATATGAACTTCAAAACATTTTCAAAAATGATGATTTGCCTTCCGATTTGCAGTAAAATGAGGAAAAAAATCTATTTTATGAACATTTGAGTGAATTGTGGGGTGCTATGTTTTCTTAAGTAGTCAAGTAGTGGCAGCACATTTGAAAATCTAATATAAAATGAATGTTAATAAACCATAAAATTGTTCTGAACGTTCAAGAACGACAAAGGAGATAAAAGATGGAGATCAGCCCATTCTTGTTACCTGGGTCAATATAAATGTTTTCCAGTTCCTAGAATAGTTGAAGCCACACGTCTGTAAATATAAACCCTACTTGTCATTCAGGGGAGACCCACTGAGGCATCGGCAGAGGCCAAGATCAAAGACTACGGACAGCTGGAGGCTAAAGACTATATCCCCGGAGCCGAGGTCCTGGAGGTGGAGGAGGAGAACAAAGAGGGAGAGGACGATGAAGGTTGTCCACTGTTGTAACATCCTCCTGCGCGCTTTCTGTGTACGTACAGAATGTGTGAATAATATATTTGTATTGTTTTATATAACAGACGGCTGGGAGAGTGCCAGTATTAGTGATGATGATGAAGATGGGGAGTGGGTGGACGTTCACCACTCATCTGATGAAGATACAGGAGAAGTGGTGAGTTTAAAAAAATTAACAAACATAGCTTGACAGATTGCTAAAATTAATCATACTATTTCATGGTAGGAAAAAAAGGTATATATTTATAAAACTGTTCTGGTTTTTCATGTTTGTTTTTTGTTGTTAATCAGGCAGAGAAGCTTCAAAGCATGACAGCTGAGGAAAGAAAAGCCAAGGCAGCGGCGGTCAGCGCCAGCAGGCTCCTCACCCAAGATGACTTCAAGAAGATCAGTCTGGTCCAGATGGCCAAAGAGGTCAATGCTGCACCAGGCAAGAAGAGGAAAAATGTGGACAGTGATGACGAGCGAGACAAGTAAGGGCATGAAATTAACCATAAACATTCATAAAATGAAATGTATTTTATTGAAATCTTAATAGTTTGTGCAAAGCAGTTTTACTCTCAGGTTCACGGTCTCTTGAATTTAGCGTGTGGGCCTTTGTGCTGATTAGCTTGTTGAGAATGACGGCCATCTTATTTATTTATTTTCCCAGAGGAGAGCTGCTGACGTTGAGAGATATTGAGAGACTGCACAAGAAACCAAAAGCGGACAAGGAAACACGACTGGCAACAGCAATGGTGAATAAATTGTGATGGAAATGTGCAGATTTGTTTAAATGAAAAATCAGTTCATGCATATGAAACACTGACTCTGGGGAGTTTAAGAAACTCTCAGTGCATTTCAGAAGTGTAAGCCTGATTTATTGTTAGCATTCTGGCCTAATGATGTGTTTGATTTTCTAGGCGGGACGGACAGACAGGAAGGAGTTTGTCAAGAAGCGGACCAAGCTAAACCCACACGCTAGCAGCAGCAACAAGGAGAAGAGGAGAAATAAGAACTTCATGATGATGAGGCACAGTCAGAACGTCAGGACTAAAGGCAAACGCTCCTTCAGAGAGAAACAGGCAAGTCACACATGCCTTTTTACAAATGTGTATATAAACAAGAAACTACTTTGGCATTTCACCTGGAAATGTTTTTTATGTGTCTTTTAATCTAGATTGCTTTACGAGAGGCTCTCCTGAAGAAGAAGAAGCAGTACAAGTAGCAGAAAAGGACATTGTGTTGTAGTTGCTGGCTAAACTTTGTGTTTAAAAAAAATCTAAATAAAAAACGTAGATCCTTTAATTGGACTGTAAAACACACTTTAACATGTATTTTCTTTCTGTGGATAAACAGCATAATTTACTCATTTTCTGAAATAAATTATCTTTGATAATTGTGTGATGTGTTTTACTTGAGTTGGTTGTCATTTTTATTCACTATATACTTTTAATATTAAGTTAAATGTAAATATCTGGTATGTCAGAATACAAGCGCTGACTGAGAGTGTTCTCTGTTTTTGTACTGTTCTATTTAACTACATTAAACACAGCGCTCTTAGTTTTGATACTATCTGCTGGAACACTGTTGCATATTTTTAAGCCATGCCTCTCCATGTTTGCTTGTGTATGAACTTCCACGACTTGTTTTCAGTGTTGTTTGCAGGGTGCTATAGAAATGCCAGCCATACACTACTGTTCAGTAAAGAGAACTCCTCAGGGTACAAAGGTGTTAATGTGCGATCTTATGTAAGATTTTATTGGAGAATAGAGTTGTGTAATTGTAATTACAATCTTAAATGTCCTTACTTTGCACATTTCTCCCCACTTTAGGGCTTTATTTGTCCCAAGTGTTATCTACTGTACCCACTTCTTTAGCTTCTTATGTTTTATTTATACACACACACACCATAGTACTGTTGTACTGCTTTTTAGATGCTTTAACTTTTAAGCTGGCACCATTACACTGTAACAGATTTGATATTGATATTTTTATCGGTATCAAATTTAATGTCTTAGATGTCAGACATCAACGTTAAAGTGTCAGTATCTCAGAACCGAGAGGCAGGTGTGTGGGGGATATTTCAGGGTGTCACAGAGACCGCTTTATTTAGCTTACATTTTGTTACTTCTGCTTCTTTTTCTGTACTTCTTTGAAACTACATTACCCGTGAAGCACCTGGAATCACAACAAACGTGCCACTGCCAAGCAGCAAAGCATTCCCCTCAATGAAGCCGGCATCTTAATTCTCGCTGCGACATGAGGTATTTCTTTATAATTCATTTGAACGCTTATGAAAATTAACTTTTTTATTTATCGCAGTTCTGCTGTAACTTTTTGGGGGGCTAGATTTGTGTCCTCATCTTGTCCGTTTCCTGTCAGACAACGTTAGCTGTCATGCGAATGCTAATCTGCCTAGTAGCTGCTTTTAGCAAACAAGCTAGCCAATAATCTGCTGCTAGCCTAGCTGTCTAGATTTATAATGCAGAGCAGTGTAATTTCATTTCCCTGGTTTTTAAGACACACACGAGCATACTATGTGTAACTAACTAGTGGTGCTATACTGTGGAGACTAAACCATAATTGCGTCTCGATTCACAAATTGTTGACCTTTGGATGAATGTATGTCGACAGAGATTTTAGTTCAGTTGTTTTGTTGACCGTTTTGACCGAGTTTAACAACCTACCTACATGCAGTAAAACAATCTTGGATGAAACCTCTCCTTAATGTTCTTTACGCAGAACAGCTAGATGCAATATTTAAGTTGGTGCAGATTATTTAGTGCACTGAGGGCTACTTAAAGGATGAGACCTGTACAAGATGTAATATCTGATAAATGCGACAATAATCTATAGGTGTAGATGAAGTGTGCTAAATGCTATCCATGGCAGAGAAGATGATGTAAATGCAAACTCTGTGCAGATAACT